GACAACCCTGCGTTGGAGACTGTTCGAACGTCCGAACCCGGACGCCCGGACAACGCCCGAACCGAAACGCCCGAACCCGAGCGCCCGAACCCGAACGCCCGAACCCGAACGCCTGAACCCGAACGCTCGAACATGAACGCCCGAACCGGAACGATTGAACGTTCGGCACCCCCTCTCGATGCATTCGGTCGTTCAGCCGCACCAAAACCCGAAAAAAAAAAAATCCAAAAAATTCGAAAACAATATATATGTTATACAGAAGAATAAATTAAACAACATTTACCTCAATTTTACATCCAGATTCTTTACCAAATTTGAAACAAAAATCAAATACTATAAAAAAAATAATAATAATAAAAAAATTATTGAGTGGACGACCACGTTTTCGACACCACAATCTTTGGCAATATTAATTTTTTTTTTTGGCTCTGACAAATAGTATGAAAATTTATATATGCGTATCTTATGTAATAAAAAATCTACAAATAAAGTTTGAAAAAATAGTAATTTTTCATGCCTCGCACATAAAGGAAAAATATATAGTGAAAGTAAAAAAATAAATAAATTAGTGAGTGGGCAAGGAAGTTTTTACACCACCATTTTTAAAGATCTGTAATTTTGTTTTAACAACAGAATGAGTTCAAAAGTGAGAAGGCAATACCTTATCTCACAAAAAACTCACACAAAACTTTCCAGAATTTTTTTTTTTTAGGTGTGAACAATATTTTTTGCAGGATCCGCACCCTTTCAAGTCCGGGTCCCGTACGGGGACCCAAATGCCCGAAGGTTCGAGGGTCAGCTTAGGGGTCTCCGTACATTCGGCCTGGCAACCCTGTCTACATATATATGTATAAACAAAATATTCGTTATCGCAATATATAGACATACGCAACAACTACAATGATTATTAATGGGAAAACCTCATAAGAATGTCAACTACATTGTTTATTAAGACAATAATTTTTCTTGTAGAGTAAGCACACATATCGCTCGCAAGGAAGCTCAAAGATACTTTTTGGATTGCATAATCGTTGATCTTGTTTTTTTTCATCCTATCTCGCCATTGCTCACTCCTCTAAAAATGCACCACATTGTTTATTGTGACAATAATGTTTCTTGTAGAGTAAGCACACATATCACTCAAGATGAAAGATACTTTTTGGATTGCATAATCTTGATCATGTTTTTTTTCATCCTCTCTCGCCATTGCTCACTCCTCTAAAAATGGACCGCACGAGAGAGTCCACTTCTGTCTTAGTACTCCACACTCAGTTTTCCAAAAATTATTCGCACATTTTTTTTTTTCGGAGGACATCATCTGTGGTCTTCATCAACAGGGCTGGTACCTCTAAATTAGTTGTGTCCCTAGGGCTTAAAAACATGAAGTGCTCCAACCGCTCCGTATCTTTTCACCTTCCCTTCTTCCTTCTTCCTTCTTCCTTTTGGAAAATAATAAATGCCTTATCATATATGAGTAGAAGTATAACCTGTTTGCGAACGGGATCTAAGGGTTTTGCGATAGGCACTTTCTTAAAGTTGTGCAAATCGTCGTTGTGTTTAACCTGATGAAATGTTTAGGTTAGATTGTTGGTGAATGATTGGAAGCTTTTTGTTTTGTTTCTTGTTGTTCACTTACATTCATCGTTTTTGTCTTTTCGAAAAACTAGTGATTGCCTTCTCGAAGAATTCCTCCTTGAACTCTTCCATTAATCTCCTGAGTAATTCTCCCTTTAGAAAAAAACACCAGGCATTAAAGTCACGTCGTATTGCCCGATTTCCTTTGCTTGGGCGATTCCCACGCGCAAGTTGATGGTGATTAGTGTTAATATTCTGTGACAAGAGATACGTGTGAATGGGTGTAAACGACCATGTGGACTGAACCTGTAGCGGACCTCGGGATGGCCTGTGAGACCAGCCCCTTGGCCTGTTCTCACAGGCCTGTGTTATATTTGGGGTAGGCCAGTCCAGTCCAGTCCAATCCCGTCAGTCCGCTGGGGTATACCCCAGCCATTGTCTGTTTTCATTCTCATTCCTCACTGACACATTTTGGAGTATGTGCGTTGGAGTCTTACGTGGGGAGCTGCGTTGTGCTATCTTCCTCCCCCTTCTTCCTCCATCCCCATCTCCGTCACTAGCAGAGCACCACACCTGGTGGGTCCGCTACATTGGTATCAGAGCGGGAACAGTCCCCGCCCCCACCCACCACACCGCACAGCAGCGAAATACTGCAAAACTCGATAGTCGGGTTTTCGGCTGTTTTTGGGGCGTTTTCGGGCAAAAAAAGCGGGAAAAACGACAGGAAAAGGTGCTGCAGAAGGAGAGCTCCACGTGGCGAAAAAGGAAGCCGCATCACGACACGTGCGCTTGCGCGCACCAAGGCCAAGGCCGCCGCATGCGCGCGCGCGCCACGCGCCCACGCTGCCCCGCCCCGCCCCGCTCCCGGATTTATATTATCAAGATCCAGGATGCAACTGCTGCTGTTGGGGTTTGAACCCAGGCACTTGCGGAGCCATGCACGTGCGTAAGCAGCCTCATAACACACTCGCCACAGTGTGTCCATTGCTTTGTAGCATGGCACAGTCGTGTTGAAGCGCTGCCCCCCCCCCGGCGGCAACGAGCAGCAACGAAGTCGCTATCTCCCCTCTCCCTCTACTAACCCACTCTCCCTACCTCTCCTCTCTCCTCTTACTCAACCCCTCTCTTTCCCCCACCTTCCACTTCATCTTTCTCTCCTCCTTTTATCTTCCCCACCCCACCTTTCTCCCAACACCCATTTTTTTACTCTCCTTCTTTTATTTCTTTCTTTTCTTCCTCCTTTTCTCTTTGCTTCTTGATCCCTGTCCACCTTTCYCCATCCCTCCTCTCCCCCAACTACCACAACCCCATCCCCCTACCTCCCACTTCATCTTTTTCTTTCCCCCCCACCTATTTCTTTCTTTTCTCCCTCACTTTTCATTCCTCTTCCCCCCCTACTTCGAAAATTTCTCTGTTTTTCTTCATTCCACCTCTCTTTTGATTTATCTTTTCTTTTTTTCTCAAAAATTCGAAATATCTTCTTTCCCACCTTCTTTTCTCATTTTCTGATTTATTTACTGTATTTTTCTATTTATTCTGGAAAATTCGATTTTCTCTACGGCAACCCTAAATCTGATTAGTTGTTAGTTTCCTCATCTTATTACCCACCCTCTTTTCTTATTTTTTTGATTTATTTTATTTATTTTTACTTATTTTGAAAATTCTTGGCGGCAACCCTAAATCTGGTTAGGTGTCAGCCTTTCTTGCTTTCGACACACGTTTTGACCCCGTGGGGGTAACGAAATGCTGCCAAAATTTTTGAAAAATCAGATAACCCATTTCTCCCCACCTCCTCACACACTTATTTACTTATTTATTTATTTTTATTTCTTATTTATTTTTTGAAATTTCTTTTTATTTATTTATTTGCGGCATCTCTAGTGTGCACACCTCGGTCTCTCCTTTTCCCTTGGCACATTCTTCACCCCGTGGGGGGTAGGGAAATGCTGCCGAAATTTTCAAAAAAACAAATATTGTTTCTCTTCACATCTTTTTATTTATTTTTTTAATTATTTTATTATTTATTATTTATTTATTTTCTTATTTATTTTTATTTCCTCTCGAAATATAATTGTTTATTCATTTTTCTCTCGTCCCCCCCCCCCCTTTTGCTTGCTATTTTACTTTCTTGATTAGGTCACCGGTAACCTACCCTAGCCTTAAACCTCGATTAGGGTTTTCTTAGGGTTTTTGTAGGGCTTAGGGTTCCTCAAATCCCCCCTACTATCCCGTCCTCTTCGGGCACCCTGGACCCGAACCACCCCTCCCCCTTTGACGGCGTCCGTGCTAGCCTTGCTAGCGCCGTTCGCTGCTTTCTACCGCGGACTTCCCCCTACGCCCTCCGCTCACGCAGACCTCTTCTGGCCCCCTCCAGTCCGGTCCGTCATCTCCCCATGGCCGACTGTGCGTCACACGCCGTCGACACGGCGATGACCACGGCATCGGGCTCCACACCCGTGCCGGCCGACCAGGGCCATCAGCCCCAGGGGGATCTACACAACCTCCTCACCTCCCTCCTCGCGCCCATCCAGGCGCAACTCGTGACCCTCGGGCCCCTACAGGCGCARGTGGCGACCCTTGCCGYCGGCGTGCAGCAACTCCAGGACGCTRGTCGTYCTTCCTCTCCTCRTCCTCTCYCTTCTCCTSGCTCTCAGTCCGGGTCCCCAGYTCTCCGAYAGGGTGGCCACGGCAGAGTTTCCTCCTCTGCCGCCCCCGACCCGGCCATTTTGGTGACCGTCCACGCCCCTAGCTCGACGACCGCCACGAGTCAGGCCCTTCCTCAGCCTACGGTCGCACCGGCCCAAATTCCGGTTACGACGGCCACGGGACCACAACCCGTTACCATGGTCTCAGCGTTTCCGGGTGCCCCGCTCCTCCCCCCCCTTCGCACGACCGCAGCGCCACCTGCCTCTCCCCCCTCTGGGATGCCCCGCGCCGCTTGTGCATCCACTTCCTCCACTCTTCCCCCTGCTACCCCTCGCACGACCTACATTCGAGGTCTCGAGGACGAGATTGCCCAGCTCCGAACCAACCTCGCCCTCTTACGCCTTCAACCACCCCCACCCTCAAAGGTGGCCGCGCCTTCGGGCGCACCCCCTACCTCCTCTACCCTTCCTCCCATGCACGCTCGCTTTCCACGCCCTGCATCCTATACAACTCCTTCCTACCTTCTTCCTACTCCCGCGGTTGCTGCGACCTCTTCTACCGCACCACCCTCACAGCCTGCCTCTGTTGCCACCGCTGCTCCCTTATGCGGCCCGGGCGCACAGTCAGCTGCGCCCCTTTCTCCAGGACCTGCGCCTACTTACTCAGCCGTGGCACAGGCCCCCGCTCCTCGATYCCCTCGCCGCCACTACGGTGGCGCACCACTCATCCGCTTGTCGGACATTGCCTTGTATGACGGTACAGGCATACGCGTGTCTCGGTGGCTGCAGTCGACCACCCGCACACTCCAGCTCATGGGCGCCACACCCGAGACGTGGGTGGGTCACCTCTCAACGCGCCTGCGTGGCGGTTCTTTCGAGGCCTGGGAGGATTTCTATGCCTACTCCCTTTGTGAGGGTCGTACTCCAACCTTCGTGGATTTCCAGGCGTTCCTCGAGGATCGCTTCGGAGCCCGATACAACGTGACTGACGCCTTCGAGCGTGTCGTCACTACACGCTGGTCCGGCTCTGGTGGCGCTGCCGGCCTGGATCGCCACATCCAGGTCTTTCAGGACGCCCGCCTTGTTTGCGACGCGGCGTTCCTCCCCGAGGCTGCCCTTATCGATCGTTTCTTGGTCAGCCTTCCGCTCGAGTACCGCTCCGAGCTATGGCGGTACGAGTTCACATCGGCCCCACAGGCTTACGAGGCCGCGAGGGACGACCAACGGATGCAAGCTCGTCTTCACCCCGCCTCCTCCTCCCAGCCCCAGCACACGGGCTACGCCTCCTCCTCCTCTCACGGCACTTCCCAGCGTCGTTCCCCTTTCCGCGGTCGCCCCCGCCGTTCCACGCAGCAGGGCCGCCACTTCTCGCGCCGCTTCAGCACGCTGGAGTATGGTGAGCAGGACGCTGTTGCCCCACTGTCATCTGAGGGCGACCACTGCGACGACCTCGATCTTTGCGAGGCCGTCCACTATCACTTGGAGGACTCTACCCTCCCTGCAGCTGAGCGCCTTCAGCTCGCGCTCTCTGCCCTCTCTCGGGCACGCAGCCGCCCCAGTCACGCTCGCGCATCGCCCCCCGAGGTCCCTCAGGAGGACCTCCCTCAGGGCTTCATCCCTCCTCGTGGTGTCCTTTCCCCTGAGGAGCGCGCGGCTATTCTGGGCCGGCGTGGGTGTTTGCGCTGCCGCTTGGACGGTCATACCTCCTCGCGGTGTCCTTACACTACCGCCCTCGACCGCCACTACGCTGACCTTTCTCGTCAGCGTCATGCTCAGTTCCCCCCCGGCACCTCACGTCCCCGCGGCGCCTCCTAGCCACGGTGCAGTGTACACCTGCGCCCTCCTCAGTAGTGGGCTTCCCGACATCTCCGTCGCAGTTCGCCCCGCTCGCTACTGGAGTTGAGGTATCGCAGGACTCGACAGAGTGTACTCCGCCCTCTGTCGCAGTATTGTCTGCGCCTCCGCAGACCACCGTCTCCCCTCCTTCCCCGCCGCGACTACCGACGCGTCGAGCCATTCGCTCAGCCCGTTGCAGCGTGCAGCTTGCTACTCGCAAGGACGTTGTGTCCTCTCTGCTGGACTTGAGCATGCTCCAGGCTCGTCAGGAGCGACTCACCCTCCATGTCGCTACACTGCGTCGCCTTCTCGCCATCCTCTCTRACCCTGATCGCACCCTCCCGATCATCCCCGTACGACTCGGGACTTCCACGAGGGTGTACTCAGCGCTGTGGGATTCCGGTTCTCAGGGTGACTTCATTCACCCACGCGTGGTGAAGGAAGCCCGCTTACCCACGACAGGGTCTCCGACTCCCATCTCCGTTACCCTAGGGGATAACAAGACCCAGCGCTTCTTCGATCAGACGGTCACCGACCTCCCCTTCTTCCTCACTCTCGAGCCGACTGAGCGTTCCCCGGCGTCTCGTCGCCACCGCTCCTCTGCACATTTCGATGTGATGGAGAYGGGGTACGACTTCATTCTCGGCACTCCGTDGTCTCGTCGDTTCCGCAGCACCGAGGCCGATTGGGCGACCAACACTCTCGTTCTCAAAACGAAGTGTGGACAGACGTATCGCGTACCTTTCATAGGTACCACGACGACACCACGCCCCTATCCTCCTCCCCCGGAGCCTTCAGTGCCCACACCATCTCCCTCTATCACTGTCACCTCGCCTCGGCAGTTCGCTCACTTCATTCGACAGGACGACGTCACCTTCTTTATGGTGGACGTGACGGATTTCTTACACTATGATCTATCCTGTCCCGACGCCGAGCTCATCCCTCTGGACCCAGATCCCCCCTCTATCTTCATGGCTCCCATCTCTACTTCCGTCCCTCCGCCGTCCGCCGAGGAACTCGCACGATATACGGCTGACTTGGAGCCCGCAGTTCGTGACCTCATCCGAGAGTACCACGACGTTTTTCCATCATCGTTCTCGTACGCCGGCATCCCACCGATGTGTGACGTCGAGCACTCCATTCAGCTCGTGCCTGACTATCGTGTTCACCACCAGGCACCCTACAGACTCTCGATCCCCGAGACCACTGAACTCAAACGTCAGCTTGAGGAGCTCCTGATACTGGGTTTCATTAAACCCAGCAACTCCCCGTGTAGTGCAACCGTCCTCTTTGCTCGCAAAGAGGATGGAACTCTTCGTCTCTGCATCGACTACCGCGGCCTCAACCGCTACACGGTTAAGAACAGCTACCCCATGCCTCGTTCCGATAAGCTGTTCGACCGCCTAGCAGGCAACCGCTTCTTTACGAAGATTGATCTTCGTACCGGTTACCATCAGATCCGCGTCGTTGCAGCCGACCAACCGAAGATAGCATTCCAATCGCGATTCGGCCACTACGAGTTCACGGTGATGCCATTCGGCCTCACCAACGCACCCGCTACCTTCCAGAGGGCGACGAACGACATCTTCAGGGACATCCTGGAGCAGTACGTTCTCGTCTACCTCGACGATATCCTGGTCTATAGTTGTACCCTTGAGGAGCACCTCAGACACCTCCGCGACGTCCTTGATCGCTTGCGCAGACATGGCTTCTACGCCAAGCTAAGCAAGTGCCGCTTTGCCCAGCACAAAGTGGATTTCTTAGGACACTACGTGTCTGACCAGGGTCTCCACATGGACGACGCGAAGATCACTGCTATTGCGGAGTGACCCGCTCCCACATTCGCCAAGCAGCTTCGCAGCTTCCTAGGCTTGACCAGCTACTATAGTAACTTCATCCGGGGATATGCTAGGTATTCCTACATCCTTACCTCCACCCTCCTCTGAAAGAACCCACCCTGGGCTTGGACACCCCTCCACGAGGACGCCTTCCGCGCCCTCAACAAGGCAGTGACATGCGCACCGGTTCTTCACCTACCCGATTTTGACCGCCCTTTTATCCTTACCACCGACGCGTCAGACTTCGCCGTAGGAGCAGTGCTTTCTCAGGTCTTCCCTTCATCTCCTGATTCCTCTCATCCTCGTATCCCTCGCTTCCCACCACCTACCCCTACCACTGCTTCCCGACTGACGCCTACTCGTCCAGCTACTTACGAGCCTTATATTGACTATTCTCCTACTATCGCCGAGGACAGCACTATCGAGTCTCGCTCAGGTGATTGTTCGATAGCCTTCTACTCCCGTCAGCTCCTGCCCGC